TCATACTGGAAAAAAAAAGAAAAAAGAATGGCACTTTAAGTAATTTCAGAGATGTCTTTGTTATACGCGATATCGACGCGGCACGAAAATTCCTCAACAAGGCTGGCGAAATCCAGCGACCCCGAGTGGACCGATCCCTCTCGAATCTCTTACCTCCACCTTTCTCTCGCTACTTTTTCTTCCGGGCACCCTTTTCGTTCCAGCAGAGAGCCAAGATCCACCCGCCTCATTGACCCGGTGTCTAATGAGCGCACACCTGAGTGCTTTTAGACAAGTGGATCTGCACTTGCACATCCGCCTCGGTGTCTGGATATCAACGTGCGCGTCGTGCATCGTCACGTCACAAACGTTGCGTCGCGAACACGACGAGGGGTTACCGGTGGCAACGACGCAAATGGCGAACGTCGCGATTTTTCACGCGTCAAGAGTTTTTTTTTTTTTTTTTGAAATGCGTCTTCGAGATGCGCCTCTGTCGTCCGTACCATCGAGATACAACGAACAAAATAATTTGTGAAACGTCAGTTCTCCGTCTTCCGGAGAATCTTGTTCATTAAAAGAAAAAAAAAAGCTAGAGGATGCTGAGAATTTCGATCGATTAACTAACCAACGTGAAGTACAATTGAATATTAAAGGACGTAGTTTCCGCAGAAACGTGTCGCAGAGATTCATCTCGGGGATCGTTATCAATTTCGCGTGCAAATGAACTTGAGATTCGTTGCAATTACGTGGCAAAAATTGCATACAAGTGACTACAGTGCGCGACGGAAATAAAAAACCGCAGGTCTGCCAAGCCCCGGTGTGCAGCAGAAAATTCTAACGCAGTGCTGGAACGTGCAATCCCGAGTAATTAAAGTTGAAATTTAACCTTGGACGACCGCGTCGTTTTCCACGTTATTTAATTCTCCGAGCTGTTCGTCAAGTGATTCGATGAGCTTGCGAAACCACGGACTATGGTGATTATCAGCTTTGAAAAAAGAGGGACAGGAAAATTCTATCGAGTAGTTTGACTACTGAGAATCTATGAGAATTTTTAGAAGTTATCGAGTCGGACGTTTGCAGACAAAAATTTCGGAAATCTAACTGAAACGTGAAATTTTCACTTTAATTCTCCGCTTTGCGCGACATGTACTATGTCAATTTCTGCCAATTTCTGCCAACAAAATTATACAGTATATTTCTGCACGTGTATCTCGTAATTGCAAATTAGATAAACTGTTGACACACAGTACAAACGTTATTTTCCTTAATATAGCCAGCCCTGAATCTTCTCAGTTTTTGTCCAAACTTTTTGCCATTCGTAACTAGTAAGTAGTAAAACCTACCATTAGTCCGCCTTGAATTGAAATTGAAGGAAAAATTCCAGCTTCCACTACCAATCCTCAAGCTTTTCAATTTTCGTTCAGACACCTTCGAAATAATTACTAACCAGAGCATTTACGAGTAACGAGTAGCACGCTCTGAAAAGATTCCGCCTTTACCCTAGACCTCTTCACAATTATTATAGTATCACTGGTGAACTGCTTTCTCGGATATTTTCGAACCTTCCCTCGCTAATAATCCTTCGCTGATCCAAATTCACCACTCGTCCGTTTTCCATCGATTCCAACACTGTGCCGCAGCTTGTATTCTCTCTCTCTCTCTCTCTCTCTCTCTCTCTCTCTCTCTCTCTCTCTCTCTCTCTCTCTCTCTGGAGCCGAAGCCCCTGGCACCTTCGTCGAATACTTTACGGTCGCGTTACTTTTACGGGTACGAACTTCTGCAGCCGATTGTATCCGATGTATCCACTCGAAGAGCTGCTCTTCACACACGTACACGTATGCACGCACGCACGTACACACACACACACGTGCAAATACGACATGACGAAGTCAGAGGTAGCGACGACGAGGGTGAACACCCTCTCCCGCTGCCATTCGACGCTGCAACGCCGTGAACACCCCATCCAACCCCTTCAGGGATCTCACCAGAGACACTCTTTCTCTTTCGTCGATGTCTACGTGTCTGCGCCAACTATACATATGGATGTAGCTGCATCGCGTAATTAGAGCGAGACGTGCTCAAAGAGCCGGCGCCAGGCCCTTTCTCCTCTTCTCGTCGCTCGGCAAAATCCGTCGCGACGCGATCGTTCCTTCCTTTATCGAGGAATTCGACAAGTTTCTGCTCGCGTCGCCTCTTACAGGCGCTCCAACTTCTGCTTCGTGGTTCAACTTGCTGGTAGTTCCTGTTAGTACGTCCCTCGAACGAGCTTCTCTCATCGTTTCTTCTCCTTTCTTTCTCTCTCTCTCTCTCTCTCTCTCTCTCTCTATTTCTGCCACATTACGGAGATAATAGATTTTTAGATGGTCGAAAATTCGGTTTGTCGCGATTTTTAGAACGAGAAATATCGTTGCAACGGTGGAAACATTTATTGAAAAAGTTTATTAAATGAATCTGACGAAGGAATGTGCGTTCAGAATTTTTAAAGTCGTATTTTAATTTCGATGATACCTATACACGTAAAATATTTTCTCAACCATTTAGGTTTAGAACGAACGTGGCTTAATACTTTTTTTTACTTGAAATTCAACGTTCTTTCGATTTATGGAGAAAAAAATGTATAGTCCAATTAAAAAAAAGTAAAGATGATTTTGGAAATTTCGAGATTCCTGAACAAACACGAAAAAGTGATACGCCATACTTTGCCTCCCTTAAAATCATACAAAACTTTTGTATTAAACGATTAAATGTGTATATCTGTATTAAAGTATTAAACAAAATTCGCGGAGACGCGAAAGATTGAAGATTTACGAAGCAGATAGATATTCTCTAAGGACCAAGTAACAGTATCTCAAGCAATAATAGCCCTCTTTATACAAAGGATCGCCGAGGACCCTAAATCATAAGAAAAAACTTAATCTTACGTCTGTAATATTTTACGCATGTTACCGTGTGTATTTTATGAGCCAATATCCCAAGAAATTTACGTAAAAATATAATTCGCGTGGAAACGCAGAATCATTATTAAATACGAACAGACGAAACTAAAATGTCTGACACATCGATTTCAGAGTGAAAACGAAGCTTGATTACCAAAGTTTAGAAAATTAAAACAACGTCTGTATTCTCGCGTAAGATACTTTCTCGAATCGATTGTATTTATAGAATGTGTGTGCTTTCGAATCTCGAAAAAGAGATCTCGGCGAGAAGAGACGCCTGTCGTACGACAGAAAGAGGCGAATGAAAAATGGAACGATACTCGATCAGGTTGCGAAACAATTTTTTCGTGCTTCTTCACATCTCGATCAAGGAGTAGCAGAAAGACGATCCCAAAGGAAAAGGGTCCTGAATCTCGTCTGGCTCTTCTCTTCTCTTATCAAGAGAGTGTTCAAGCTGCGAATGACAATGTTCCTTACAAATTGGAAACAAAATAAGATGGTACAAGCCGAGATGAATCTTTTCTGTCCCTTTCGTTCACCGTAGCTTCGAAATCTTAGCTTTCGAATCGAAATGTAAATGTAAATTTGTAGTTCCTTCTAACGATCAAAATCGTACACTTAAAAAAAATCACCTGGTGATTACGTTCTCATCGACTAATCGGTGCTAATCGTCGCTGCGAAACGTGAATATCGTGGCCATCTGCTTCGCAGAAATTTCTCAGAGGAAATTTCTCATTGTTAGGGCAAATGTCCATTTAACGTTCTCTAGCGATGGCTAGAGGAGATCTCGCTTCAATATCGCTTTTACGTTCGACCGCGGGAACGATATCCGGGATACCTTCTGGCCTCCAATTGCGGCCTCGCCACAAAATGTGCTTCTTGCTACTCATCCGCGGAAAATTGTACGAGATTACGAGGATAGGTGGCGGGGGAGGGGAGAGTGCCGGTGGCGTAACGCGAAAATACCCAGCTCTTTCCGCTAATGCTTTTTACGAGCCACGTTACTTTGCAACCGTGCTTCCTCCTCGCGGTATTACCACTACTGTTTCACGTATTTATATTTCGAGGAAACGGTTTTTTAGGGTCGCGGGTTACGTCGATAGGTGGTGCGCGCGTAAACAACGAAGTTCTACTTTGAGGAAGAAGGATGGCAGCAATTTCGCAACATCTTGTCCCAATGCAAAGTTGTAATTTAGTGCTGGTGTAACGCAAGTGCCCGTAACTGTTGCAGTTCGGCGTTTCACTGCGTAGTTAAAAAGTTGCATGTAAAGTTACTCGGTCAGCTGCTTCGAGGAATTTTCTTTTTTTTTTTTTTTTATCGTGGAAACAGATAAACGAGCTTTGTCGTGCTTTTAGACGTTATCAAAGTTAACGAATCCGACTCTTGGGACAGCCAACGTTTCGAATTTAGTAAAGTAGCGAAACGATTAGTGGAAATCTATATACCGAACTTAACGTCGCGAATAATTAACGGAGTTATGGAGCAGTATCTGGAATCTGATCGAGGATATATTATTAAAACATTGACGACTTTGGAAACCCAGCTTACGAAAACAAAGTCTATTCATACACGTTTAAGAATACCTTCTAAAATGAAATTTTCAACAACGTGAGAATTATATGAATGAACGTTTTTTAAATAGACGAAAACGTACAATTGTACAGGGTATGTATTTTCGAGAATCAATCGAGTTTGAAAAATTTATCGAGCGCACGTGAATTCAGCTAATTCTAGATGCGGCAGGAAAGAATAATTGACAAAAGGTTATTCCACGTTCAAAAATAAGTAAGAAACGTAGAATGAAATTTTCCTACGTGATGTCCCATTTCTAAGAAAATCGAGCTTGAAAATTTATTTTCAAGCTACGCGTAAAAGGATAGTTTTTAACGAAACATATTCAAAGTTTATTTTCTCGAAAATGACGCCTTGAGCGAAACAATTTCATTCTAGATTTTTTTGCTTATTTCTGCCTAGTATGGAATTAGCCAAATACAATATTGATAAATTTTCTCGAGAACGAACAAATCCTTTTCGACACATTTTTACATGTAAAATCATCTTGCCAGTCGGTCGACTAGGAAAACAGCCTGTATATGTTTTCTAAATTTCGGCGTTGAAGCGAATTTTTCTCGAAGCTGCAAAAAGTATAAATAAAGTCTTTCATCGCTTAAAAGGAATACGTTCCGGTCTATGCCGCTTTCGGGGTTTCAAAGCGTTCCGCGTAAATCTCACTCTTGGCCATTGCCAAATGCGACTGCCTTTTTGAGCGTATCTTCTCGGAGAGGTAGCCTGAATAATAAAACGGCTTTTAAAGATCCCTCAAACAGAGCCAGATATAAGAATATCCAACTCCTTGAACCTTCGAGCGAGACCAAACAGAGAGAACCAAGTTTATTCTTTACCTCGAGATCGATACTATATCTGTTACCACCGGCACATAAATCTTCAACCTCCCTCGCTCGAGCAAATTTCAACGCCGCGATTCTTGACAGATGCAATTCATTCACTTACTTGGTTAAGCGGAATTTTTTCGGCCTGGTGCAAAAGGCAATTGCAAAGTCACGTAAACAAGTAACTTTTCGCCAAGAACATTCCCCCGAAGTTGTATAAAATTCCATGAATAGAAACAAGCGTCGTCGCTCGTCCGCGCAACTTCTAATGAACTATGAAGATGCAAAACACGGAGTAACGAGCCGACTAATCATCGTTCCATGTTCTTCTTACGAATTTCGTTTCGAGCGTTCCCGACGTTATTATCTTTGACGTTTGTGCAAACGTAATCGAATCAACGCGCGCGCCGCGAGCAAGATTCTCAAGAGTGGTCGCTGAGGGCAAATGTCATCGTTAGCGGCGACGACTGTACAATTGCATTTCTTTCGCATCCGAGGCGAAAATTAGAAATTTTAAATAAATAATTGTTATAAGGTGAGAAAGCCTCGTTGTTCGGAATTTCTTGCTGCGTGGTAATTATCACCTGCTGTGAACCCTTCTTTCGATGCGAAAGAAATCAAATTTGCAACTGTTTGTTTAACTTAGCCAATCTTAAGATGTAAAATACGGTTGTGTGTGCTGTGTGTGTGTGTGCGCGCGCGTGTGTGTGAAGTGCGTATGAAGATAAGAGGACATTTTTTCCAGAGAGTTATTTAGAAAAGTAGGTGCTTTTCTAAAAACGACTAGTCAAAAAGAGGCTAATTTCATCGATATTAAGTAATTCGACTTGCAAGATCCAAAGCGTGCTCATACCTTCCGGATGACGAAAAGCTCGAGATAAAGATCTCGCAATACGGAGCACGCGAAATGCAAATCTGCCCTGGTGATTCTTGTCGCGTAAAACGAGAAAAAGAGTGAGAAGGAGAAGAGAGACGAAAGTGAGAAGTGGGGAGAGACGAAAAATCGAGCGCACAGCGAGATGGAAATAAACTTTTGAATAATTCCGTCGATATGACGGATTCGTTCGCCATATTCACCATCGTGAAATCGCGCCATATTCGAGCGAGGCGTCGCGACGCGGTGAAACTTGTCGCGCGAGAAAACGGTTCACGAGCTCGGAATAAATCCCGACGACACGCAGCTTTCGAGAGTCGTTCGCCGATCTGTGAGCTTTCCGAGAGAGGGCGAGAGACAGCCGCAGAAATGGGAATGGAACGGGAGAGGAGAGCGGCTAATTAGGCAATTAAGAGTGCGAACAACAGCCACCGATGAATTCAACCGCGTCGAGGGCCGCAACTCTTCCCCCTCCGATCTCTCTTCTGCTTTCCCGGACGAAGAGAACGAAGAGAACGAAGAGAACTAGATAAAGCGGTCGGAAATTGGAAAATTAAGCTCGAACGAGTAGGCCAGAAGTGGCAATGTTGCCATCGAAAGGCGACTATCGGGATGTCGGATCTCGCAGCTCGCGCCGATGCGATGGACCGATCGATCTAGTTTTAGCATTCTGACAATTTCAGGAGATGTCTGTTAATTCTTCGATTTTCAAGCTGGTTTACACAGCTCTGCTCAATTGACCGAGGAAAGAAAAGAAGGATATAATTGTGAGATAAGGTAACCTTGGAAATTACTCGAAACTTCTTCCTAACTTCTGCCTAAGAGTAAAGAACAATTGTCGCGAAAACGGCCAGGGTTTGGACTGTTTGTTTTAGCCGCCCAAGTCTTAATACTTTGCCAACCGAATGGGGAGATCTGCCCGCTTTGAGGTAAGTCGTTGCATGACCGACTAGGGAGATCTTCCACCGTTGCCTTCTATATTGGATTGGATCTTGCCATTGTTGATTGGACCTCTATTATTATTTAGTTAGACTTGAGTTCTAGTTCTCTGCAGTTCGTTATGTATCTCTCCTGCCTTTGTAAAGCTCAAATTTGAATCAGTTAAATAAGTTAAGAAAATATCGATAAAAATGTCAGCCTCTACAACAAAGAATATTTGTCTGAATTATTCATGGATGAAGCATCAGAGTATGTTTTGTTAATGGAAAAAATGGATATACGCGCAATATTTGCCAGTAATGTACCATTACATAAACTTTCCTGTTTCGAACGTTACCACACTTTAACAAAATACTAAAACTACATAAAACTTTAAATTATATAATTTATCTGTAATTTTACGTTTCACGTGAATTAAGAAAATGTTTATTGTGTTATTTACTTTTAATTTCATGTTTTATATAAACTATGTATAATATAGGATTATTACCATCAAATATAGTTAATCGGTTAAAATCAATTTTATGCGTGGCTTGTAAGTAGTAAAGATTAGTCTGCGTAATTTGCAAAAAAAGCGCGTTGGAAAGGGAAAGGGTAGCTGGGTGGCGCACGTGCGGTTTGCAAAGTGTTAAGACGTAAAACAGAGCAGGCTAACTGGTGATCCACGGATCCTTGCCCCTACTTTCCTGATCCCCACCATTTGCATCGATGCAGTGGAGGGGACAGCGCTAGCGATCAGAAAAGTAGGGGCAAGGACCGCCAGTTGACCGGCTCTGACATAAAATATAAAAGTATGGTTCTATGTGTGTGTAACAATAGCGTGAGAGTCTCAATATCTCTTTGTCATCGCCGTATTCGGGCTTTTTCAGTGTTCTTTAATTCCTAAATTAATAAATTTTATATTTACATTTATTTCGAATCACGCGAGTTAAATTTGTACTGTTTTCATTTACATGATAAAAGAAACGCTCGTCTATCGTAAACTCTAATTAAGAGGTCCGTGACTTTCATTTCGGCGTGCACTCGAACGTACGAAAGCGGTACGATCGTATATGTGGAATAGTGTTTCGCACGCGAAACATATTTCGCTGCGATCGCGGAAACTGCACGGATGCGCCGAAAACGGAGCGGAGGGATTTTAGCGACGCAAGACGATTCGCGTACGTCTCGCCAAATTGCTCCTGTTGAATTTCTGCGTTGGAGGGTTGAAAAGATAAAGGGTCGCGGGTTGAAAAGACGTTTTTCTCGATTGAGTTTTACGAGGCGTACGCGTCACGTGCAAGTAAAGCGATAGTACCTGTGTGGTTACGCTCCGAGAAACTGCAAATGCCTCGTAAAAGCCAGCGCTGCGCGGAGGAAGATTTTTGGGGAGACGAGAGAGAGAACGAAACGTGAAAATGGACTTGCTTCCCGTGGAAAAAGTTCCCTTTTTTTCTAAACCGAGTGCCTCGGTTAGGCGCTCTTCGCGAGGAGATCCAACGCATCGACCATCGAAATTTACCGAAATTTACTTTTCGACAAATCGAAGGAAAGCAAATTTGACAGTTTTCAACGATTTGAAAGATTTTAATAAAAATTTCGTGAAAATATTTTCATCGAGTTCCCTCGTTGCGTTTCCACATTGCCACTCTTTGCAAACACCTTCGTGGCTCCTCTCCGAGAGTCATAAAGTGGAAATTCAATCGCAAGTTCCGTACGTTTTGGCCGTGGCAGGATTTAATTAAACTTGATCCCATAAGTTTCCGCATAGTTTTTGAGGAATTTTTCACAGGTCTGGGGCAATGTTCCACCTTTAGTCTGTCGAGCCAAGTTTTAAGGAACTTCGAAGCCTGCTAATTTGTCTTTATAATTTTCAAAATTCGTGAACCTTCGTAATCGAGTGTAATTAATCTAGGAAGGACGATCGATTATGGTATTTTGCAATCGAAACTCGCAAGATCGCTTTTTAACGAAACGTTTCCGCAGCTGAAACGATCGCAAACGTTGGAAAAGAACGTGCACGATGAAACAGAAAATCGTCCGGGACAAAATATTAATTGCCGGTATTTTTAAACTCTTTTCTCGAACAAGAAAGTAACGTCTTTTAATTGCTCGTTGCGAATGACAGCCAATAGGGAAGCAATAAAAGGAAGGAAACGAAACGATAAAGAGAGAACGAGAATCGATCAAGAGAAAGATCAGACCCGATCGAGAGCGAGGCTTGAATCGTAGGACGTTGCCGGAAAGAATCCGAGAAGCAGAGTTGTTCGATTTTTCTCGAACGAGACTGCAGGACGAGACTCTGTTACGAAACTTTGTTTCTCTTCGACTGGAAGGAACCGAGCCGAGTATCGTCGAGAATCCCCAGGCTAACTTTTCGGACATTTCATTCCGTACTAGCTACTTTCGCGCTACTCGCAACTGCAACTTGTCGAACGCATGCGAGAGCTTGTTATTAAATATCGAGGAGGAAGTTGGATCTGGATGACGAGTTTCTTCGACCTGAGTCAGAGATTCGGCCAGACCGCGCCATTAAGAAATGAAACGCGGACGCGTGTCTCCGTTTCTCCGACGTATTCGCCGAAAAACACTTTTGTGGACACGGAGAAAGAAAGCCAGCGAGTGAAAAAATGTAAATTCGGTATGGGTAAAGGTTGTACGATGTACGAACGAGTGCGCTCTTTTAAAAGCGATTCATATTTGTTTTCAGTCTTTCACGGTATCTTCTGAAATATCACGATCCCTCGATATAGACACAGATATAGATTAATTGCAATGTTCAGCGCTTGCTCGCTTCCATAGCCTTTTACCTAGCCGCGATAAATTCCATTGAGCAATTCTTCAGCTTCGTTCGATTATTTTACTACGCTAACGAGGACGCGAAACTTTATTTGCCATCGCGACGGAAGGGAGGGGGGAAGGGGGGAAGGAGAATGAAGTGTTCTGTCTCAATTTACCCGTAAAATATAACTTCTCGAAATATCTCTTCGGCTTTTAACGCTAACCAAAAGTCGCCTTGCACGTCCTTTTGTACGTCGTATAAAATCTGTTGGAGGAATCGCAGACGTTGGCGAGTTGCTAAATCGACCAACAGCAAGCATCGTCGCAACGTGTAACAAAAATCATACGGGAAATCTTGAGCTGGAAGTTTCAAGCGAACAAATCCTGCAAAGTCTGTCACTTCCCGTTGAGAACATCTAGCAAAGACGATCGAAATAAACTTTCGCAAAGATCTACAATTATTAGAAAATGTTAGGAAAAAGAAGTCGACTTGAATCTCAGGAGCAAAAGACGAATTTGCTCGACTGGATTGATGCGCTTTCCAGTGTTCCGGGCTACCACGTGTACATACCTGCCACATGTACATTTATCTGCCTGGACGAACGCGACGGGTACGAAAACGCGGTTCACTCGAATATAACCAAGCAGCATCGTTTCTGTTTTCGATACAGATGTAGCAACAGCTTTTCAGATTGCTTCTAGCGCTGCTCGAGAGGCTGGATTTACGGTGATCGATCACCGGTCGAGAGCACCGGCGGAAAATTGCTGCCTCCGCGACGGCCTTGCGCACACACAGAAACGAATTACGAGTCGCCCGCCATTAGCTGATTGATATGATCGAAAATAATGGCTAGACTGAGAGAGAGAGAGAAAGAGAGAGAGAGAACGGAACGGAACCAGCTAACCGGAAAGTTAAATCGCCGTTTACTGTTTTCTTCTGTTTACGCTCGCAAGGGAAAATTAGAGACTCTGACAAATCACTCTCTCGTTTCGCCGGAACTACCATGTTTTTTCTTTGCTCGACGCTACGCAGACGACTACTCTGTCCCTTTGCTCCCCTTGTCAGAAGGCTCTTGGGGATAGTGTAATTCACGGCGCAGAATCCGAGCGAGAAACGAGCGATACGGTGACGCGAGCTGCGAGAAATTTTTTGCCAAAACCTCTCAGAATTATCTCGCGATTCTAACGGGAAAAGGAGAAACGAGGGAAGAAGGAAGGAATATTTCAAAGTGTTCGAAAAGTAAGTCGATCCGCGTAATGAGCCACGGATGCCTCGGCGCTTTTCAGGATGCGAGCTTACCTTGAAAGATCGAGCAACGATTCGTACGAATAAACCTGGACGGTGGGGGGGGGGGGGGGGGGAAAAGGGGGAGAATGGGAGGATGAGAGGAAGGGGTGGCGCTGGCGCCGATGAAAAACTACCTCGCGAGTTTCATTCTTCTCGTGCACGCGTTCTCTCCCAGAAGGATCCTTCTTCTTATTCGCGTTCCATTCGCGTTCTTCTCCTCGGCCTCGACTTTTCTCCGCGTCGTTCTTTCCTTCTTCGCTCGGATAATGATCAGTCTTCCACTCCCCCCTTTTTCCTCCTTTCCCCACCCACCTCCTCCACTTCGCTCTTTTCAAATGAGATTCCCATCTTCTGTGTTCGCCAACTTTTATACCCGTCCCTACGTTGCCCGACCATATAGCGCAGAAAGAAGAAGAAGAAAAAGAAGGAAAAGAAGAAGAAGAAGAAGAAGAAAAAGAAGGAGGAGGAGGAGGAAAAGAACAAGTATAACGAGTTTGCGTAAGTAAAGATTGCACAGCGGAAAAGGAAAGAAAGAAACGGATGCGTTCGTGTCTATTTAGCGAAATGGGGTATTTGTTTGGCGAAAACGTCACGGGAGACTGTCGCGGCGGAGGGCCATTTTCATGCGAAATTCCGCGTGCCTGGCAATCTGTAACGTCGTTGACGTCATTCTTCTCCCCTCCTCACCTTCATCTCCTTTGCAATAAGTCCTCTGTCTCGTTAGATGTTTCTTATTTCTCTGTCCCTCCTCTCGTTTCTATTATTCCTGCCCCCTCTTCTCCCCCCTCCCTCCCCCCGGAAATCTCCATTTCTCACATTCCAACGAGAAATAGAGTTCATCGACTCACTGTAATACTTCAGTTTGTGACTTTCTTTCTTTCTTTCTTTCTTCCTTTTTTTCTTTGTCGTCTCTGAACTCGTCAGAGGAAACGAGGTAAACAAAAGGAACCGAGGTAAAATGGCCAGAGATGAGGCTGTTAGAGATCGTTAATTGAACTAACGCGCGAGAGCAAATATTTGATCAAGCGAGTGAGACGTACATTTCCCCTTTTTTCTCGTAATTTCGACTATAACTCCTTCTTCTTCTTCTTAGTACCGCGTTGTTATTACGCTACTCATCTCTCTTACCGGATGGAGAAAAGAGACTCGTGTCAAGAACATAACGAGGGGGCAGGTAGCGAAATCACACGGCGCGTTTTTTTTTTTTCAAATCTTTCGGCGAGAAAGTTCGAGAAACGTGTAAAATTAGCGGCAAACGTGGAGAACCAAAGCCGGATCTCCTGGCGAAAATTTCTCTGCCAGAGAGACTCGCGCTATTACCCATGCAAGCGGGTTTTCGACGCGGGTTGTCTCTCGCGAAGCTAACCCAACGTCGTCTAATTAGGATTATCTATGGCCATCCCGTGGATTTACACTGCGAAACGTCCAATTAAGACGGCGCGATAGACAGTGGGATTGCACAGTCGCGAAATTACGTTGCCAAGGACGGTACCATGCAAATAGCCTCGTGTATGCCCAACGACGACGAAACAACCTAGGCGCTAGGTTTCCTAGGGGAAATTGGGAAAAGAACAGGGGAAGAGAGCATCTTTGTCGAACGTGAGAGGGTCGGTGGCTGCCCGCCGGAACGAAGAAGAAGAATAGAAGCGGAATTCGTGACGATGGAAGCAATGGAAATTACCGTGTATAGAGAGGATTGTTCGGCGGAAAGGTTCAACCTGCGCGATACCGTCGCCCGAGTTGGATACTGTGGTTACTAATTTCACGATTACTCGGCGATTTTCTTTCTCACTCGAGATCGAGTTGACCAGAGCAGCGTTAACCCCAGTGTCGTGAATAAGTAATTGATGGATCGAGTTCTGTA